CCTGAATAATAAGATTATTCAAACCCTCCACAGTCGCTCATACTTTGGAAGTAGGTATGAAACAAGACTGTCATGAATCCGTCTGTAGATTCCCTAAAGTTTTTAGACATAGCACAAGTTTGCTACAGAGTTCATGAGTGCTGCTATAACATTAGAGAATTGGATTAAACCCACGCTCACTTGGATCGCTTCATGGATTTTATCACGAGTGATTGGTGAGACGGTAATATCTTATATTCTTGAAACCGAGATGTGTGAGTTGTATCTTGCGATTCGGTTACACATTGATAATATGTAAACGCACCAGTAACTTGGTGTTATAAAAACGTATTGTTGTATGTGATTCGGTAAGTGAGTACAAGCGAGCATTGAGTCGGAGTTTATCCCTTCCTTTTACCTAAAGTGGGATAAAAGCGGTATCTGTGGGCCCCTCGATGATTTAGTGATGACACCCTAAGCGCTTGGCCAAGTCGGGACTAAGTTGATGTGTTCAATTGTAGTCTGTTGTTAGTTGCCATAAATCGAAAGTTGGGAAACAACATATAGATAGAGAGAATGATTTAAATCCATGTCTCAGTCTGTACGATATCTAGAATGGAGGAATATATGATCCCTTATCTAAAGACAGGTTACTGATAAAATTAGAGTTCGACAGCGTCTTTGAGAGTTACGATTGCTAATCGGATTCCGAAGTCATACTTGTAAATTTAGTTATTAGACTTATCCAAGTGGGAGACTGTTGGATTAGTGTCTAAGGCCATAACTATATTTGGTATGTACTTGACCCGGTTGTGCATGGTCCTTTTGGGTTGCCTTCACCAAAGCAATTTGATAGGATGATTTATGGAGAAAGAGGATTAGTTATGATTCATTAATATATTATTAGAATAATATATCAATAAGAGAAATCATATTATTTAATTAGTATTAGTCATAGATTAATTAAGAATTAATTTGGTGACTAAAAGAGATTAATTGAAGAAAGGGGACTTAAACTGTCAAATGTGTGATAGTTGAATTTTGGGCTGGGAAACCTAATGGATCAAAGGGGTGAACGAAATTATGATGGGAGGCCATCATATTTTCGTCCATGGCCTTATTCCAGAAGGTTCCATGGGCTGCTTAGAGTTTAAGCTGTCCATTAGGGTTTTGACTGAAACCCTAACTACCCACAGTATAAATAGAACCCTTAGGCTATAGAAATCGGCTACCCTATTCCTAAGAGCTATAGAGCCGAATTCAAGAAGCCTCCAACCTCTCTCCAAGATCATTCTTTTGTTATTGGTGTTTGTAAGCCATTAGAGGAGTGACACTTGTGACTCTAAGCTCCAAGACTTGAAGATTCAAGCCATTATCAAAATGTAATCATCTAGATCTATTCTTATTTGATAATTTCGATTTACATATGATAGATTAGGGTTCTTGAGCCTTGGATGAATTGCATGTACAATAGAGAAACCTAGATCCAAGCATTAGGGTTTGCATGAGCACATAGGATGTTCTTTTGTATAAAACCCATCAATATGATTGTTGCTACAGATGGAAGCAGAATAATGGGTCTTGGTGATCTAGGAGTTCAGGGTATTGGAATTGCAATTGGGAAGTTGGATTTATATGTTGCTGCAGTTGGAATAAATCCTCAGAGAGTAATGTTTGCACATTGTCCATCTCAATATTTATATATTTCTAAAATTTCTCACTTGCAAACATATATCTTTTTCCTTTTTTTCATTGTAATAGGTTCTTCCTATCATGATTGATGTTGGAACCAACAATGACAACCTTCTAGAAAATCCCTTGTGTAACTTTTTTTCTTCTCTTCTTGATTTTTTTTTCGAACCTTATTAAGTAAATTACATGTGATTCACATGTAAATCAGATATGAATCACATGTGATACACATGTAATTCACAAATGAATTACATGTAAATCACATGTTATTCACATGTAAATCACATGTTATTCACATATGAATCACATGTAAATAATATATGAAGTAGATGTGATTCACATGTTATTCACATATAAATCACATGTTATTCACATGTTATTCACATATGAATCACATGTAATTCATATATGAATTAGATTTGATTCACATGTAATTCACATATGAATTACATGTGATTCACATGTAAATCACATATAAATTACATGTGATTCACATGTAAATCACATATGAATTACATGTGATTCACATGTAAATCACATATTAATCACATGTAATTCACATGTAAATCACAAATGAAGCACATATGAGTTACACGTGATTCACATGTAAATCACAAGTGAATTACATGTGATTCACATGTAAATCACAAGTGAATCACATATGAATTACGTCTATATGCACACATGCATTTCGTGTGAGTGTTCTTCGTTAATTATTTTTTTAAAATTGTCTTATGAATTTCACATTTAAATCATAAAAGATACAATCACATATGAATATCACATTATATAATCACATGTGAATCTTACATGATATATACATGTGCGTGTTCTTGCATTAATCAAATTTTTTTATTTTCCTGTAGATTTTGAAGAATTTTTGGAAAATATTGAAGAGGTGAAAAGTGATAAATTGAAGAAAATATGGAAATCTTGATATGAAGAAATGATAACACTGTGAATCTTTGTATCTGTTTATATTTTATTTTATATCGAATAAAATATATGTATTATGTTTATAGATTGATTAATAAAAGTTAGATTTTTTATAATTACCTACGAATATTATAGTATAAGAAATATGCATTTGAAAAAATATGCATATATGCACATAAAACGTTGATTTTTTTGTTAAAAAAATGCAGTTTTGAAAAAAATTGCACTTTTTTTTATAAAAATCGCAGATTTTTTTTTTTTTGGAAAAAAAATGCAGTTTTTCTGAAGATAATGTAGTTTTTTGAAAAAAAAAATACAGTTTTTTGGAAAAAAAAATTCAGTTCTTTTGAAATAAAAATACAGTTTTTTTCTAGAAAAAATGCAGTTTTTTTTAAAAAAAAATGCAGTTTGTTTTGAAAAAAAGATGCAGTTTTTTAAAAAAATCAAAATTTATTTTTTTTTTAAAATGAATCCGAAATTTTGAGTTATTTTGTTAATTTTTAGACATTTATGTTAATATATTAAATAACACAAAAAAATTAAACATTAAATGAGATTGGTAAGATAACGATCATGTCCTTAACGAATTACTTTTGATCTAACGCTCCACTTTTAGTTCTCGGGAAACTTTGAGTTCTCAACCGATCTCAACCCTATATAGAGGAATGATCATTTGAGAACTCAAAGTTTCTCGAGAACCCGAGAACCAAACAAGGGTCGTTAGATCAAAATAATAAAATGTTAGGATGCTTTGTGGCACTTTTGTAAATACTTAGGAAAAAAAGACAAGGGGGCATCATAATTAAATAAATTAGGGGCATTTTAATGATAACATAATTACTCGTCTGATCATCGATTAAATCACGTTAGCCCCCTCCCCTCATTGTGTGTGTCTCTCTCTCCCCCCTCCATCCCACCCGCGACCTTCGCACCGCCTCCGAAGATCTTGATCTCATCTCAGTTCCTGTTGAGGCCAGTGAGGCTCCGATCCTTCCAATAAACTATCTCCCGGATGATTTTGATTGGAGAGACAATGGTGCAGTCACCGATGTGAAGAATCAAGTACTCCGATTTAAACAATCAGTCCCAATTCGCATCTCCACCGTATTTCAGACAATCGATTCACATCCAGATTGATCTACGGATCACTCGATCTCAGTCCCGTAATTTTCCCTGATCCATCACTCACACAGTCGATCATGTTGATGATCGATCACAATTACTGTCGATTTCAACAAAAATCATTACATATTTTAAGAAAGGGACAGCTTTGCATATTTCTGGCTTTAAGTACCTGTCGACTACGAAGATTGTTACGACTAATTGATATGCAGTTGTGAATGTACATGTCGACTATGAAGGTATGTAAATAGATAGAAAAGTTGGATTGTTTTTATTTAACAATTAAAAAATAACTATGAATAATTATATGTTATATTTCAAACAAAAATGAAATAACAAGAATTATGGTGTTCAATTTTTTGATTTTCTGTTATATGATTGATGATCCTATAATTCGATTATTAAGTGGAAAATTAGAAGCTTGTAGAAGATGACTCCATTTTGATTGTTGTTATTTGTTATTTTGAATACAAAAATGGACAAATTTTCTGTAAGCTCTAAATTTGAAGAGGTTAAGGCTCTGTTTCTATAAAGAACAGGTAAGAGGAGTATCAATCCTGGATATATTGTTCTGAGTGATGCAGTTTTGTTGACCTATTCTTAATATTTGTATTCTTGATCAGATGTTTAATCTATAATTTGTTTTTGGGCTAGGTTGATTACAGCAAGTAGACCTGGCAATTTCAGACACGAAGACACAAATCTGTGAGAGACACGACATGACACGAATACATCTTAAAATTTGATATACAGCTTATTTCTCATCGTGTAATCGTATCGTGTCAAATTCGTGGCTGACATGTTTTCATGACACGAATACACGAATTGCCAGGTCTAACAGCAAGAAGGCTTGCTTCAAACATATTAACATCCAAACCTGCTATAAGGACATTCCGTAATGATGCATCGACAAAATTAAATAATATTTCATACAATACCGAAATACCCAATTTAACAGAGTAATGTTGAATCCTGATATCTGTCTTTTCCAATTTGTTACAAATAAAAAATAACTATGAATAATTATATGTTATATTTCAAACAAAAATGAAATAACAAGAATTATGGTGTTCAATTTTTTGATTTTATGTTATATGATTGATGAGAGTATTAGTGCTTGAATACAGATCTTGTCTTCAAGAACATTGCTGATGCTTCTATTTCAGTAATTTTAACATCCGGGTAGGTGACCATGTATTCATATTCTATCTAAAATTTTGTTTATCAACACAATTTATTTTATTTTATATTATTACAGTACTCTATCACCAATGAGTTCATTTCAGTTTGAACTTGGGGTTCAGTTTGGAACATCTCTTGAAGCTCCTCATGTTATCAACGTGGAATCACAGGTACCAATAAAGTTTCTTACCTTTTTTTTAGAATCGATCATTTTCAAACGATTTTGTAATCTTTCTTATTTAACTGATGGTTTTACCCTTTATGCTGCAGCTATGGGCGGGTGTGATTCACAGTGGGCCGGGTAATTACCCATTGAATGCCAGTTACAAAACATGTGAGGGCTATGGTTTCCAGGTAAGCTTCAAAACCAAAAATGGAAACATTCTCCCATTTTATTTGGTTTTGAAGTATGATGTGATTGCTTGTTTTTGTTGTGCAGGATGCACTTGGAACATCCCTTGAAAAAATATGCAAAGTTGTCCCTGGTGGGTGTTTGGTGTTCTTCCCGAGTTATAAACTTATGGACAAATTACGCAATCGTTGGTCTTCAAATATGTAGTGATTTTTTTTTGAATAGTTCGTGTGAGATTTTCTGGTTTTAGTCATGATCAAGATGAGTGGGTGAATGTAAGAAAGGGACTTCGTGAGAGGTCAATACCCTTGGTGCCTTCAGAATGTCACAAAGTCAAACTTCGTGAGAGGTCAATACCCCTCGGGACATTTGCTGGTACGGAACGCGTTGGGGACATCTGCCAGCCATCTGGTGATCGCAATGGGGTCCCGAGCCCCATGGTAGTCGGGAGCTCCACAAGCTCTAAACTCCCTGAAAGTCAAGGTGCGCGATCCCATCATGGCTGCTATCTCAGTACGGAACGCGCTCAGCTTCTCATCCAGAAGCTCTAAGATACCCTCCTTGGCCGATCCAAAGATCACAGGAGTCTGGTCTAGTATGCTGTGTGTGACCTCCGAGGAGATGAACTCCCTGGTCTGCTCATCTAACTGCTCGGCTCCAAAGCCTGAGCCCGATCCCTCTCCTGCACCTGAGCTACCCACTGCTGGTCTAGGGCACAAAACCACCATTCTGAAACACATCATAACAGACATCAGAATACTAATAAAACTGGAGGGATCACATACACTACAAGTTCCCTGGTCTTGTCTCAGCCTTCCTTGATTCGAGTACGGATCCTCTGCTTTCAGTAGTACGGGCCCATACTACCTTCCACATATATATGTACTTTCCTCAATAACTTCCTCGACTCCACCAAGTCCCTTCTACTACTACTACTACTGTTAATCTCATGCTAAACTCTTCCTAGGCTTGCCCTAAGGTAATCACCAACCCACTCTCCGCCATCAGCTGCATAAGAAGTCCCCGTTTTCTTTCACTAACTAGCTCGCAAATACTATTACATATTACTCAGACTAGATAATTCTTCGAATGAGAGGTCCTACTCCACAACGGTTGGACTCAGACAAGAGCTGTGAAATAGAGCTAGACTTAACCTTCTGAAATTATTTAGTCCTTGCAATATGCAACGTAACATATTCGTTTACTACTTAGTGAAAGATAACTAAGACTCCTAAAAGCACAAAGCAAGCAGCATTCGAGCATTGAGTACACATAATCAAGCATCTACTACTCTGACTATCATACTGACTAATATGTACTAGCATGCAGTTATCATAAAGTTGAACACATATAACAGGCACATAAGGCATCCTTCCTAGATCCTTAGTCCTAATCTAGCATGTTGTTCTAATAAAGCTGATAATCATAACATAACATAAACTTGTATGGGTAATTTAGGAGTACTTACTTGAGCTCGGCTGATTACATGCACCACATCCTTTCTCTTTTCAAAGTTCTTTTCTATTTTCAAAATCCTATTGAAAAAAATGATTTTCTTTTGAAAATTTCATACCACTTCCTTAGTTTGAGTTCAGACACTCCCGAAAGTGTGCCCAAATCCCTCAAACCAAGGCTCTGATACCAACTTGAAACATCCCAAAAATACTAACCAAAAATTTCGTTTTCAAAATCATTTAACAACATAAATATCATCGCCATAGTGTAAAATCATAAAACATGTATCTCAAAAATCTCATAAGATTTGTCATCATATCACAATCTCATATATAAAATATCAGAGTAAACTCCCAGGCTAAGAAAATTGTGGTGTGTACCATGCTATCATCCCGAGCCCTTTCCCTTGCTAGCTGAAGTACCTGAAACCAAAACTGAAACTGTAAGCACGAAGCTTAGTGAGCTCCCCCAAACTACCGCATACCATACGAATCACGTATAACAAATAACATAACTCTGGGACTACTCCCAACTACATCGGGACGAATCCCGACATCGGCTTGCCCGACATCGGACTCCTGCCCGGCATCAGGCTCACCCCGGCATCCGACCGCATCGGGCATCGGGCTCACCCTGGCATTGGGTTTGCCCTGACATCGGGCTTACCCCGGCACATACACAGCATAACATATATCATAAACACATAACATAATCACATGATCTGCATCGGGCTTGCCCCGACATTGGACCAAAGTCTGGAACATATAATCATAACGTATAAATTAGCATACACCGGGCTTACCCCGAAACATATCATGCATAGCATAATAACTGACCTACATCGGGAATGCCCCAGCATCGGGCTTACCCCGGGACATATTATCACATAGCATGTTAACTAACATACATCGGGCTTACCCCGGAACACATAACACATATCACATATACATGCATGAATCACAAAGACATCAAGCATACTAAACTACTTCTCGGGACCGCCCCGGCATCGGACCGAAGTCCGGAAACATATAAACTGCATCGGGCTCACCCCGTCATACTCTACAACTTAAACGGGCTGGCATTGTGGCCGTGACCCGTTCCTACTGGAAGGAAACTCACCTCGTATGGCTGACTGCTGAAAAACTGGGTGAGGGATTCCTATCTGCTGCTCCGGCGACTCTCCGGCTATAATTCCATAACAACACTTAATCAAAAACTGATAATCCTTCTTAGGGTAAAATGGCCATTTTACCCTTCTGGTCAAAGTCAACGCCAAAGTCAAAGTTAACTCTCAGTTAACCCAACTCGCCGAGTCCCTCTACCAACTTGTCGAGTTCAAACGGTCATAACATCGGGACATCTCGACTCTACTCGTCGAGTCTCTCCTTGGACTCGTTGAGTTCTTTTGCTTCCGAGTCTCACTCATGTACAACTCGCTGAGTCATCTCCTTAACTCAGTGGTTTCACTCATAATCAAAGAAGGGGTTGGGGACATCGATCCGACTCGTCGAGTCCCAAGAACCACTCGACGAGCCCATTGCATGCTCAGATTATACAGTTGATCCTAGGTGATTCCACTGCCTCTAATTCATAGATCTGGACTCCTTAGGCTAGCATAACACGTAAAGTTGCTAACTTTACGTGCATGCATGATGCTATGAAGCTAAATCACCCAAAACAAGTTAGAAATGAAAGTCTAGGGCATAGAATGGGATCTTGGCCAAATAAAGGTGGCAACTTTGGGCTTCTGGAGCTCAAGAGTGCCTAGATCTAAAGTCCTTACAGTCCCAAAAGCTCTCTACCCGAAATTAGCTTGGAAAGGACCCAAAAATGGCAACAAACAAGCTTTCATGAAGATCTAAGTGAAAATAAGCCAAAGTACAAGCTTTATACCTTCAAGGGATCTGAAATGCAACAAAAACTCTGGATCTCCTGCCTCTTCTTGAATCACCAATAAATCTCTTCCTTCTCCTAACTTCAAATCACACAAAAATGGCAAGAAAGGCTTTAGGACACTCAATGGTTGCTAGGGTTTCGAGTATGGACTGTGGAGGTGATGGAGGCTGGGGTGGAGGTCCATAGTGTTGCTTAAATAGGGTGGAAACCCTAAGGATTAGGGTTTCCTCCTGATGGACCTACTCGTCGAGTCCATTCCTGACTCATCGAGTATTCCACTTAAACCCCGCGGTCCAGCTCGCATCTACTCGACGAGTTAGGGCTACCAACTCGTCGAGTAGCTCTTATAAAATGAACATTTAGAGAAATACTTTCGTACCAGGAATGGGGTGTTACATATAATAAAATAATATTTATTAAGATATAAATATAATATAATAAAATTAATATTTATTAATATATATTAATCCAATGAAAAAGAATTAATTCAATAAAGAAAAAATTAAAAAAAGAATTAATTAAAACAATCCTGGTCAGCTCCTCCATTCGTTGCTTTTTACCACCTTGCGTCGTCGTATCATCTCGCTGGAAATCATCGATCATCGACTACAGTCGGCCATTCTCGACGAAAACTACACCAGTCAACTACCCACACAATGTGCAATAAACCCCAGAAAGCATAAAACCTCCAGCCGACCATTCATTATAGATACCGCCATCGATGACGACAATGTTAGATCGAGAGTTTTCAAACACTACAGGTGGTGGCAGGGTTGTAGAACTCGTTATTCGGTACTCGTTCGGCTGACCGTCGAGTAGCGAATACTCAGATTTGGTAATTCATGTAGAAATATTTTTAGTGAAATTATATATGTCAAAATCATCAGTTAAAATCATAAGTTTATTGAAATATATAACAAATTTAGATATATGTGAATACATAAAAATTAAAATACACACGATGTTCTTACTTCGTGAATAATTACTAAAATTATATACATATAATATATATCTATTAGAGACAGCCCGATAGTGGTTTATTGTGACTGAGTGATGGTGATGGTGTTGTCCAAAATATGTTATCTTCCAAATATTTAAAATAAATTAGGAAAAAGCGGGGTGGGTGAGATTTTTTGGTATTTTATTTAAAACAATGAAGAAAGAAATTAAAAGAAAATAAAAAAAATTAAAAAATATTATTTATTATAAATAAAAATAATAAATTTAAATTAATAATCCGATGAAAAGAATTAACGCAATAAAAAAATTAAAAAAACTAATTAAATGAAATTAATAATCCAATAAAGTAACACTTACTAATAGATAAATATTATATGTTAAAAATAATATTTATTATTATATAATAATTCAATAAAAAAGAATTAATGCAATCAAGAAGAAATTCAAAAAAATTAATTAAAAAAATTAATAATCAAATAAAGTAATATTTATTAATTATATAAATATAATATATTAAAAATAATATTTATTAATATATAATAATCCAATAAAAAAAATAATACAATAAGAAAAAAAGATTTAAAAAGAAAGTAACTAAAAGAACTAATATACAATAATTCAATAAAATGAAAAAGAAAAATTACATAATTGGTCCTGTAGTTTGGTAAAAAGATAAAACTGCAGAAATGGTCCTAGGGGTAAATTTATCATTTGCCAAAACTTAACAATCATGCTGTTAAACTTAACAAGGTAAGGACCAAAATCACGATAAACCACCAAATAGGGACATTTTTTTGCTAATAAACCTTTTTTTGGACCTTACCCACAGAAATTGACAAACCACATTGACCATTTTGTCAATTCTTAATCCCTTCAATGTTTTGACACGACACTACCGACACGACACGTTTGTCAAGTTTACCTGTGCTAAGATGACGTTTTTAAGTAGAACTTCTAAACTATGAAGTTGCTCAAGATCCACTTCAGTCCACATGACCAATGCCAAACTATGACGTGTAATTGTGTATTTTAATTTTTTTTGTTGTAGTTTTGGTTGATCGTAATTAAATAGAAACTGTATGAAAATTAGATGTACATTGGATGTACAATGAATAACCATAAGTATATAAACACCATACGGATGAAATTTTGATATGGTGTGACATCTCGATTTTCTTAAAAAGACCGACAATTATAAACTCCCAAGATCTTAAAAGTTTCAACCAAAATTGACAAACATATATTTGCTTCAAACAACCAAGGAATTATAAAAGGTTAACAAGATGCACACAAGAATAAATGTTCAATCACAATCGGTTTGTTGATTATCTATCAAGAAGGTGACACTAATCTTTCATAAGAATCAAACATTGTATAATCATCATGTGAAACCATGGTGTTTATTGCTTATCTAACATTCAAGAGAGTGACAATAATCTTATATATAAATCAAGCATCTATTTAATAATCATGTGGAACCAAAAATATTAGAAAAAAGATACTACCAAAATGCAGTTAAGTGATTAAGCAAGGAGCTATATAAAAAAAGCAATGCATCCAAAAGATGAATGAGAACATTTTGAACTAGCAATAAGAATCACAAATGAGATTATAGGAAGATACAAAACTCTGAACACACACTATCATTAATTTCATACTTGTTATAACCAAAAAAGAAAGATAAAAAAGAACATTAACATCAAATTGTTCCAGAAAATAACTAATTGAAGATTTAACTTGACAACTCACAGTGTATCGATCACCTAGACAGAAGTATGAATGACAAAACAAGATTCAGATCATTAACATGGAAGATCAAAGATCAAAGCTCAAACTCCTCATCTCGCAGAGCCATCTCAGCTGCTTCTTCATCCTCATCATCAAGAACAAAGTACTCGTTTTTCTCAACTGGCCTGAACATGTAAAACATCACCATATAGAACACAAGACTGGCTATTTCCTCAGCTGCATTTGATACCCATTGGTACTTATAAGCTGCAATGGTCTTCAGTGCAAAAACAACAATCCTTGTGAAGTACAAGTATCCAATAACCACTATGTAGAATTGTCTAAATAAAGTCAACTTTGCCAAATTCCTAGCAGCTTTTCCATCGGTTTTAGATGTTTCCCTCAAAGATCTAATCGACCAAACAATGGGGAAGATGATAGCACAGCAACATATGATGTCTACTAGTAAGAACACTTGGTTCCATGTAACCCAATCTTTAATGAAAGGTCCGGTTTCTCCTATCACTATAGAAGCTACATTAGCCAAAACCTGAAGTGGGATCACAATCATCAGAACCTTCTTTTCCTTTTCTTGCAAGAATGGTTTCAAGAAAGACCATCCGGTTCCAATCAACACGATCACAGTGAACAAAAGCACAACCCTGATGAACTGGAATATATAGAACAATACATCCCATCCGTGAGGAGTACCTGTGACCTTGACATAATGTTTATCTTCTGCAGCGCAGATCAAGTTAAGTGCTTTCATAACAAGCAACCCACCCATCAGCAAATGAATCCTGTGAAAAGATCGCTGGTTTTTGAAGCATATGGAGATCCAAAACCCTAGAAAACATAGATAAATCAAGGAGAAAATGAAGTAAAGAGACGGGAGCTGTGTTAGACCGGCTGATAAATAGTCTTTGGTGGTGCCATCATCGGTGTTGTAGAGCTCAGTGCGGACGTCCATAGTGACGATGGATTGGGGGTTGCAATTGGCGAAGAACAGTGAGTACTCATTGGGATATGTAACAGGGTAGGATTTGTTGAATGAAGACTGAGGAGGAGGTGAGAGATCTCGGAAAGTAAAGAGGAGTGAAATGAATTTGGAATCCACAACACAGAAATTAGGGTTCTGTTGAAGTTCGAGGAGGACTTGGATTAGCGATTCTTCCGATAGAAGGAAGAAACCGAGACGTGAGGGATCAGGTTGTGCCAAGGTGGAGGTGACCGAAACGGAGGAGATCGCGACGGAGACGTAACCTGTGTGTGTGAATCCGAACTTCTCAAAGAGGATCATAGGTCGGTTGTCGGATCGGATCTTCAGAGATTTGATCTCCGCCGTAGTTGGTGCAGTGGATATGAAGACGAGGAGGAAAACGGCTATGAGAATTTTTCCTAAAATCCTCATTTTGGATTCACCGGTGGTGGGTATCGGCGGAGGAAGGCGGTGGTCCAAAAAAAGGAGTTAACAAGAAATGATGTGGGGCGACTGCTTAGGCTGAAATACAGAGAGTAATGAGATGGTAGGCCGAATATGTGAGCCGTTCATTACAATGTACTCAAAGCTGATCCCAAATGTCAACCGTTGGATTAAAAGGTTTCCAGCTTGGACGATGATCTGGTCATCGATGTATTTGGATCGGATCTATACCGGTTGGTAGTTAGTTGCGGTTTCATATCACATTCTTTTCCCTTATTATATCAAGTCTTTTAAATATTTCATATAGAAAAAAATAGGGAAATATTCTATAAAATGTTAATATTTTAGATTAGCTTACCGTATAATCTTAATATTATTTTTTGAACAGAAAAATCATGGTTATCTAATTTTATATGATAATTTGTCATTTTCCGTTATAAAAAAAATAAGGACTATTTCGTTAATTTAGGCAAATATAAAAATAATGGGGACTTTTATGTTCAAAAAATAAAAGTTGAGATTAAACCGTAAACTGACCCAAAATATTAAAACTTTGGGCGTGTTTGGCACGGAGCTTTTAGAAGCGTTTGGGAGCTTCTAGCTTTTAGCTTTTGACAAAACGTTCTAGCTTAAACAAAAAGCTTCGTTTGACAGTACGATCGTTTAGCTTTTAGTTTAAACAAAACGCTACAATTCTAAAAGCTACTTCATGTAGCGTTTAACAAAACGCTACCGAGCTTTTTAAATCAATTTCCATAATTACCTTTAAAAATATATTTTATATATTTATTTCTTTTTAATCAATTGTCCTTTTATGTAATTTTATATATTTCAAAAACTTTCAGCTACTTTTGCCAAACATTCATATAACAAATAAAAGCTACAGCTTCCCTCTACCAGCTACCTGCTACACGCTACCAACTAACCGCTACCCGCTTCCAGCTAACAGCTACTTTTGCCAAACACGCCGTTTATCAGAGATTTCCCAAAAAAGTATATAAAAGTCACTAAAGTTTTGTGAAAACCCGGGTCAACCATTGTATATTATTTCGATCTATAAAAATCATTATATTGGCGAAAAAGTTCGATGCCACTACTTTGACCTATTGGTGCCGTTTTACAAGTTTGCGGGTTTTTTATTTGGGAAAATTACAAAAAAGTTCTTACATAATTGTCTCATAATCGATTTAGTCATTATAGTTTTTTTATTCAGTTAACTCTCAAAAACCGGTAATCGTATTCAATTTGACCTTTTTACCCGGTCAACAGGTCATCCAACTTTTAAAAAGTACACTTTTGTCCCAAATTTTAAATTTTTTAACAAATTTGGTCAAAATTTACACTTTTGGCCCAGATTTTAAACTTTATTACAAATTTGGTCCCAAATTTATCTTTTTTGCCCAAATTTCAGAATTTGTTATGAATTCATACTAATTTTAGTTTTTTTTAAGCATTTTTTCTCAAAAAAGAATTTTGAATATATTTTTTCTTTATAAAATCAATTTTATACAAAAAAACATATTTTCACATAAAAACTCTTATATTTTCTATATAAAAACTATTTTTTAAAAACTTTTCTGTATATGAAATACATATTTATAAAAATAGGTATTTATTAAGTACATAAATATATACAAATCCATTTTTATAAAAAAATTATATACAAACCCGTATTTTACAAGAAAAAATATATACAGACATCTGTTTTATTATAAATAGGTGTTTGTATATATTTTTTTATAAATATGTATACAAATATATTTATAATAAAATAGGTGTTTGTATAGATTTTTTTTTGTAAAATATGTGTTTGTATACATTTTTTATAAAAACAAATTTGTATATATTTATGTACTTAATAAATAGCTATTTTTAAAAATAGGTATTTCGTATACAAAAAGTTTTTTAAAAAAAACTTTTTATATAGAAAATATAAGATTTTTTATGTGAAAATATGTTTTTTTTTGTATCAATATGATTTTTTTAAAAGAAAAAACATATTCGAAATTTTTTTGAGAAAAAAAGTTATAAAAAAAACTAAATTTAGGATGAATTCATAACAAAATTCTAAAATCTATGCCAAAAGGGTAAATTTTGACCAAATTTGTAATAAAAATTAAAATTTGAGCAAAAAGTGTAAATTTAGGACTAAATTTGATGAGTTAAAAACTCTTTTAAGATCGACAAGATTCTTAACAAATAAAACAGAAAGTAAACCAAAGAACAAACACACAATGAATCAAACGAATGTCGAATGATTAAAACAACAACACCTCAGAAGAGCTCGATAAAGAACTTCTACTGTAGAGGCGTGCTAGGGTTACAGTATTGTTAAAGAAAATATTCAAGAAGCCTCTCTAATGTGATGCATGCATGCACCATAAATACTAAACCCTAAAAACAAATACACGGTTGGACAGGCCCAATCCGTGAATACATTGGACTAAACTAAAGAAGCCCAATGGCGCAACCCATAGACTCAACAATCTCCCCCTTTGCGCCAATGAGGCGAGAGATCACTTCGGTTGAGTAATGGTGGTTTTCTTCACAGTCTTGAACAACTTCGGTATGATGGCAAGAAGAGTTTGACGAAAGTTAATATACCACCGAAGCATATCTGAAAACATCTTCTTATCAACTTCACTGTTCTGATTGCACCTGTATATGATATCAAGAATATGCTCCAAGTAAGAAGTGGAGAACAGGTGTTTGTCAACAAGAGCGAGCAGGCATTTTTGACCTTCGCCCCTGGTGAACATGACTGTATGAAACTGTGGGTTGATTTTTCCCTTCATCATCACGTTGATGTCGCTTGCCTTCCCAATTGGCTTGATAGTGGGCTTCTTCTTTAAGGCAGAGGCGATCTCCTGATCCATCTTCACGACTTCAAGAATATAACACACCAGCATTCGCTTGATGTGATCGATGATAGGCTCATACTCTTGTTGATTGGTCAACAAAATATTGATCAGGAGAATCCAGTCATGAGGATTCAAATTTGGCATATCAGCTAGGGAGATCATATAAACCAAACTGTCTAAGCCTCGGGTCACTTTGAATTTGATATTGATAAACTTCCCTACCAAAGTGGGTTTCAACACCTTGATTGTTCTGTTTACTCCAAGTCAGGTATTGCGGTTGAGAGAACGCAAGATAGTATTCGATCAGGTCTCGATCAACCTTCAGGTCAGGAGAGGGGATGGCAACTGTTGACTCGAAACAATGAAAGATGAACGTCTTGCGGGTGATTGTCATATCAAATTGAGAATCCTTGGAATTCTCAAGATCGAATGAAAGGACCGGTTCGAGCCAATGTGTGCTTGGAGATTCAATTAGCTCCTTCAGAAGTTTTTCCATCGTCCACAGAGGGAACATAGATTTCCTTCGTTCTAATGCATCGTTCGCTTCTTTTTTTTCTCTCCCTTTCAACTTGTTCATTTGCTTTACGAAGCTTTTCCTCAAGCTCTCGATCAGTTCGCTTGATTTTGAGGTCTTCGATTTCGGAAGCTTTTTCTTCTGTTTCAGCCACATCTTCGATTTCAACCTCATCATCATCACCAATTTGCTTCTTTCGTTTGTCCTTCATACTGCCCGAAGCTTCATTACCCTTCGGTTCAGTAGTGACTTTTGGTTGGGTGATGGGTTTGCTTTTTGGAGGTTGTTGTGGTTGACCCTGGCTGACATCTTCTCCCCCTTGTTTCGGAGGGACAACGGTCTCCGGAACTCCTTCAATCCTGCTTAGAATGTCTAGAGCAGGTCTCAACTTCTCAGCCAAGTGGCGTCGAACCGAGATAGTAAGGACCGAGTCATGTGCATCCAGAAGATGTTAAAGAATGGAATGCACATCACCAAAACTGCTTTTGATGACTGATCGCTCAGACTTAAGTTCATCAATTGCTTTGGTCGCCATCTTGAGCTTCAAGTTCTGAGTTTTAAGCTGAGCAGTTTGACGATCCAGCTCATCCATTATCTTGTTTTCCACGGCTAGTTCGGCTTCGAGTTGAGTAAGACGAGCATCAACAGATGTGTGAAGCTCGGTGTTGGCAGACTGGATAGCTTGGTGTGCCTCCTCAAAGTGTTGCTTTCAGCTTGAAGCGAGCTGGTAAGATCATCAACAGAAGCATTCACCATTTGAGCATTCTTCTGAGCTGCAGCCTGAAGAGAATCAAGAAAAACTTGAGCATCAGAAATTAGTTTTTCGACTTTTGCGGTCGCTTGCTTGCAATCTTTGGTAGATTCTTCAACTGCAATAGAAGCTTTCTGGCATGAGGAAGTGGAAGCATCTATAGCTTTAACAGCATTAGAAATGGAAGTGTCATGCTCCTTGACAAAGGTTGCCAACAGAGCCTTGATTGCGGCTTCAGAGTATGCCCCACTTGTAGTAGAAGAGGAAGAAGAAAGAAATTGGTCAAGCTTGTCATTCAGATCCTTTAAATGCCTCTTTGTGACAAGAGCGTCATCATCAACATCACTCTGAACTCGATATGGGCTAAAATAGACGGAATAAAATTCCATTTCTGCTACGCCAAGAACAGTGTCAGAGTCGTGTGAGGGAGGTGGGGATAGAGGTTTTGAGGTAATTGGGGGTTCAGATTCGAAAGTAGTAGTAGTTGTGGTAACTTCGGTGAATAAAGGGGTGGGAATTGGAATTGAGGTTGTAGTTGAAGATGAGATGGGAGGTGGGCACATAGCAATGGTAATAGGAACCGATTGTGTAGGAGAAGGAGGAGGTGAGTTTCGGTTACCTTCATGAGCTGGTGAGGGTGGAGGCGAATTACCTCGAAGCGAACTCTCGTGTTGAGAAACGTCATCGTCACTAGACTCTGGCTCGGGGTGTGGGTCAGATGGAACATAGTCAGAATCACTTGAAGAAGGAGCCTTCGGCTTGTGTGCCTTCTTCTTGGTCTTGCGTTTCTTTGGAGCAGAAGGAGCTGCTTGTTCAGACTTTCGCTTCTTCGAAGTAGAAACTTTAGAGGATTGACCTTCCT